TCTCTCTCTCTTTCTCTCTCTCTCTCTCTCTCTCTCTCTCTCTCTCTCTCTCTCTTTGAGACATCAGCGGGCAGAAAACAAAAACAAGACAAAAACATAGCCTCGGGAGCGATAAATGATCTCAATTCTGTGGAAGGAGGCATAAACACATCCACATTAAAAAGAAAAAAACAACAACAAAAAAACAACATCAACTCATTCGGGGGTGACACTCTATGCCACAGTCCCCACACACTCACAGCCAAAACAGCCAAAACCTCCACAACTTACCGTCCTTCTTGTAGTAGAGAATCTCCACCTGGTTCTCTTCCGATCCCTGCAGGAAGTCCCGGATCTGGGATATGGCCAACCCGTTTGTGAGCGGGCCGTGTAGGAAGTCACACAGGGACGACTTCTGCATGACCTCTGCACGTGAGTAGCCCGTGAGTTCACAGAAGCCGTCATTGCAGAAGATAATAGGAACGGTCTCCACCTGGGCGTTAGCAATGACGAATTTCCGGTCTGGGGAAGAGGCAGAAAGAAAATGTTACTAACAAAAAAATAATATAATTGAAAAAGGAATATCAGATGTCTGTTTTAATATTATTATTGTACATTTTGTCAGCTTTACTTCTCTTTTTATATTGAATTTTAATGAGAGTAATATAAAATTAATTTTTTTAATGTATACCTGCATGTGTTTTTTCGGTCCTGTACAACCAAGAAACATTTCCCACTGGGATAATGAAGTATTATTTTATCCTATCTTATCTTATCTTATCTTATCTTATTTTATCTTATCTTATCTTATCTTATTATATGTTGCGTGATTTTGAGTTCAAGAGATGGACGCTGGCGCAGTGGCCACCCTTTGGTCATGGCAAAATAGTACAACAGACAGAAACAATGGGATATTATTATATATTATAGCATTGGTATAATGTAAATTAAATCGACTTCAGGGCCTTGAACACATAGCTCGCAGTGGTAAAACTGAAAGCAAACGAGGCAGGGGCAGACCCAGAGCAACTTATTAGGAGACCCTGACCAGGGTGACGGGAAAAGACCAAGCTTTTTGAGAGTATCCAAGCACAGAAATGATTGCCGATATTTGTCGAGGATCTGGCATTTGATGATGATATAGTAACGCAAATATCCGCTTAGCATCAAACCATGCGTTTCACAATAGAAAAAGATAGAGGGAAAGGCAAGAAGTAGGATCAGCCGGTCGCGACCTCAGTGCTTTCTCGTCGTATCTCCATGTCTAATAAGAGTGAAAACAGTTCATAACAAAGAATGAGCTTAAGAAGAAATCACATTTTCACTATTAAAAAAATAATAGATAAGACAAGAAAGCACTGAGGTCGCGCGGTGGTACTTATGAAACCATCCGCACACAAAAAGCATTGTTAACGTCAGTATTAGCAGAACGGTTAAGTAATGAGGACAGAGGATATCGTCAGTCGTACAGGAGCTTCAATAAACCAATGGAGACCAGTGCTCTTCCAGTTCTATATGTTTACTGTCATTTGAGTACACGTAAATATTAGCACGCCTATTATTAGTGTCACGACACAGTTGAATCAGGCGCTCGTCAATTTTTGGACATATGGAGTTTTCGTATCATCTTAAAGGTTGTTTGTTTGCCTTGCTTTCAATCAAAACGATATCGATTTATTTTGAATAGAAGTCGAGATATTTGAGATTGAAGGAGATGAGGTCGCCTGGTTTTAGAGGTAAAATTAGCGAGAAAATGGCCGCCAAAGTTTGGTGACTTCCATTGCTTAAGAGTCTTCGGAAACTGCAAATATAAATTAGTTGTGCCATTAATCAACTTTGATTTTCCATAAAATTCACACATAAAAGTGTTTTTGAATGGACATACAAGGTGCTGAGCCTAAAAACAAAAGTTACCAAAAAAAATCCAAACTAGATGAAAAAAGCCGTTTTCTCGTATTTCATTATTTTGACGAGCGCCTGATTTCACCACGATGTCTCATATGCTGGTCTAT